CATACTCCTTACTTATATATATACCAAGGTCGCCATACTTTTTTGTTAATAATATATTATTATAATAAGCTATTATAACTATATAGATATATAATTTTACCTACCTTCGTATCTATTAAGAAGATATCTTAATAAGAATCTTAGCTTAATATTATAAGTAGTTACTTCTCAGTAGAAGAAGAATCATCTTTACTATATATTACTCATTATGTCTATATTTCTATGTTGCTCTTATAATTTATTTATAATATATTCTATTATAGTATCTAATCTTATATTTCTAGAAAGTAAAACTAGTACTTTTATAGAATTTCTTACTTATATAAAAGTTATAGTAGAATTTATAATATAAATAAAAATATCGCTTTCTTTTTTAAGGAAAGTTAAGAATTTAAGCTTAAATAGATAATTATAATTATTAGAAAGCGTACTATAATAGCTAATTAAGATATTTATTATAAATTTAGATAATAATATAAGTATAGACTTTATTTTTATAACTCGCTTAATTTAAGAGTAAGGCTTCGTTATAGAATAAGTAGAAATCTTAATATTCTAATAACTATTTATAATAATAGATTATAATTTATAGTCTAATAGAAACTTATATAATATAAGAATATTTATTCTAATTAATATATTAGTCTTAAGATTATCTATTAAGTAAATCTTTATTTATATCTTAATAAGAATAGATTCTTTTATACTTCTTAGATTTTCTAAAAAGTATAAATTTATAAGAATATATTTTATAGTATTAATAATTTTATTATTATAGCCTTAAACTAATATAAGAAATATTTACTTTTAAATTCTTTTCTTGAAATTAAATAAAAAAACTAGTAAAGTATAATTATTTAAGATAATTAAATATCTAAAATCTAGATAAACTTTAGTATTAAAAGAATTTAAATTCAAATAAATATCTATTTTAATATACTAGAAATTATAGAAAGTGGTTTCTCGTTTATATTTAGGCGGTGCTAAAATAATAGACTTAATAATTTTAAGAGTAAAAACTATTTTTATAATATAGATATCTACTTCGATAATATATTTAGGATTCTTATTCTCGAAATTTATAGATTTTTTAGAAATTTCATTTCCGGGTTTATGATTTTAGTATTACTGCTTAAGATAATAAAATAGCTTATTTTTAAATTTAAACTTTTTATAATATCGCTAATAAGAGTATTCTAATAACGACGAGTTAATAAAGTTAATCTTCGATTTTATATTTTTATAAGATTCGTGAAAGCTAAAGTAATTATTTTCTTATTTCTTAATATTTTTCTTATTATAGTCGTTATAAAAGCTATTAAGATCTTTCGAGTAACTCAAATTCTATTAAAAATCCTCGAATTTTTTTATTTTATTAATTAAGATTTAATAAGCTCGTTATTTTTATAATTAAAAAGATTAAATAATATTTTAATAAGCTTTTTTAAATTAATATAAAGTATAATTAAGTTAAAAAGATTAATAAGAATTATATACATTTTATTACTAATACTAATTTAGACTAATAATAATCTAATACTATATTAATGAAATTAATAATATTTATTATATATCTCTTTAAAAGTAGCTTTAATAAATAAGATTATTATTTTAATAAGTTAGTTTTTAGAATTAATTATAAACTTAATAATTCTATTAATTAGAGAAAATTAAAGATTATTATTATAATTAATTAAAATTCTAAAAATTAGAGTTTATAGATTAATTAGATATATCTTTTATTTAATTATATTAATTAAGATTATCTTTATAAAATAAATTTAATATATAAAAAGTATTATTTAAATTAAGCTTCGTTATTCTCGAAGCCTTTATTTATTATTAATTCTTTTTTATATTTATAATTATAAAAAATTAATTTAGCGTAATTTAAATAATAAGTAAATCTATATTAGATTAAAATTTAATATTAAAATTATTCTAAATAATATTAAGCTAATTATACTCGTTATTAAATTTTATTATTTTAATAATCTTAATAATAATTATAGTATATTTATATAGTTTATAATATCTTATAATATTATTAAGTATATATTATTTTTTAATAATAGTAGTTATTCTCGATATTTTAATAAGTCTAAATCTCTTAATTAAAGTAATATTTTATTTTTTAATATTATTATTATAAATTAGTAAATATTTCTTATTATTAATAAATTAATAAGTATATTATTTAAATATTTTATCTCGAAAATAGATTTATAAATTATTTTATAATAGCTCTATACTCTTAACTCTTATAATATTTTTAATTCTATTAATAAAGATAATAATATTTTAAAAATAGATTTCTTTCTCGATATACTCTATATCTATTATTATATTAGAAAATTTATTATTATAAAAAGAATTAAAAAATCTAATATTATTATTAAGAAAGTAGATTTTATTATTTTTATTAATAATATTCTATTTTAATATTTCTAGATTTTTTAGATTTTTTAGTAAATCTAACGAGTTAAAAAGATTTTAAATTTAAATAATTCTTTATATAGCGATTAATAATATTAATAATAATTACTTTTATATTAATAGCTTAAGAGTTTACTTCGAATTCTTTATTTATTATTCTACTATTATTATAATAATGAATAATCTTATTAATAAAGATATTTAAGATTTCTAATAAATAATATTATAAATTATTAAACTTAGTAATAAGTTAAAAATTATTATTTAGAGATTTAATAAGTAAGATATTTATAACTTAATCTAGAGAGATATATTTTTTTACTTTTAGAATATTATTAATAAATAGAAAATTAAAGAGATAGCGTTTTTAAATTATAGATTTTTAAAAGAAATAAAATATCGATTTTAGAGTAGTATAATTAATTATTTAATTTTTTAATTAAATTTATTAAAAAAGTAAATCGAGTAATAAAGAATAAGATTATATTTATTAATCTCTTAATAATAATAATATTAATCTAATAGATTTAAAGATATTCTTAATAAAGTATTAAATAATTCTTTAAATAGTTTTATTAATAAGAGAGCTTATTTAATAATCGAAGATAATAAAATCTTATAGCTATTAAATTTAAATAATTATATTATAAAAAGCTAGCTTAATAAGTATATAGAAGTAATAAAAAATAAAGAAGTATAAAGATTCTTTATTCTTATTTAAGAAGTATAAGAATTCTTCGCTTTAAGAAGTATAAGAATCCTCAACTTCGAATTAATCTAGTAATGATAAAGAACTCTATTAATTTCTAGCAGTAAGTTATTATATAGTGGCTGCTACTATATAAATATTACTACCACTATTAAGATAGCATAAGATTCTTAGAAATCTCATTTCTGAGAAAGACGTTTCTTGAGTGGTAATAAGATGATTCTTCTTCTATGGAGTCTGGTTATCTAAATATATATGCTAAGTTATATCAAGCTATTAGCCACTAGCTTCTATCTGCTAAATATAAGTTCGTAATACTTATACTATAATCTATAAGCTTTTATTACTTAATTAAATTTATTAAAGTTAAAAATTTATCTATCTAATTATATAATTTAATTTATAGAAATTTATTATTACTTAGAAATTTATATAGATATTATTATTCTATTAATTTATAATTACTATTATAATATCTTAGATTTTTAAATAATCGTATTAAAAAATAATACGCTATTTTAGAGAAAATAATTTACTATTATTTTACGAAAAGTATTATTAAGAATATATAACGTATTTAAATTTTTTTAGTATTACGATTATATTACTAAGTAATCGTTAAAAGATAATAATTTTTACTAATTTAATATAGATACGATTATCGTAACTTATAGCCCTTCGCTAAGATAATTATTATAGCTTTAGACTATATATAGAAATAAAGAACTAAAAAAAAAAAACCTGCTACCTCTAATTTCTTAATCATTAGAAAACGAAAAAGTTCTCGCAAGTATCTTCCTCTCTCGAAAATTGAAAACTAAGATTTCTTAAATAGCTTTATAACTACTATTAATTATAATCTCTATTTTTTACTACTTTTACTTATTATATTAAATAATAAATTATAAAAATCTTAGAAGATTTTAGTCTAAATATCGTGAAATATAATATATATTAAGAATGTTTATTTTATATTAAAAAACTACCTCGGCTATTCTATAATCGCTAAGACTTTTTTAAAAAATCTCGAGAATTTAATAGATTTTTATTTTATCGTATAGTAGATAATTAAAATTAATTCAAATTTAAGTGTTTTAGTCTTTATAGTATCTTCTAATAGTTATAAAATTTTTAGAGAATTATAATCTATCGTTAAGAAGTTATTCCTGAAATTTTAATTTTCAATTTTCGAGGGGGGGGTGCTTGCGGGAACTTTTTCGTTTCCCAATGATTAAGAAATTAGGGGTAAGATCTCGCCTCGGCAGAATTCCTCAAGAACTGCTGTTCATTCCGACTCCCCGGCTCGAATACCCGGTAAGCACTTGATAAAGACGTTAGTCACACAGATGCTGCCTCTCCGCGGAGCTTGGAGACATCGATGTCTTTCAAGGTGTTCCAAGCGCGGGCTGAGCTTGGCATACACACTGCATGAGCCTCATAAACCCCAATTGGGTCATGCCCCTTTGATCGTTTTGCACGGGCTTTTCGGCTCCAAACAAAACAACAGGAGCATCAGTAAGTATGGCTTCTCGCACCCAGATCTTCAGGTTCGTCATCTAACTGGAGTAGGGCTCTTGCGCGAGACCTTAAATCGCGAGTGTATGCCCTTGTCAGTCTTTGATATGGCGGCGAAGGAAATACGTTTCGCTGATTAGCTGCCAGGATTTGAGAAACCATGGCGACTCACCCCACGATGCTGTACACGACTATGCAGCGATGGCCGACGACCTGGAAGAATTCATCCAACAGCATGATCTGCGGTTACCTACATTGATAGGACATTCAATGTCTGTTCCTATACTTTGCATAAGGTCTTGGACAACGCTGAAGGCATAGAAGGGGCGCAAAAGTAGCAATGACCGTGGCACTGCGATCTCCTCAAGTTGTGGGAGGTTTGATAGCGGTCGATAACGCACCCGTCGATGCCATTCTGAAGAGTGACTTCCATAAGTACGTTCAAGGTATGCGGGACATTGAACAGGCCCAGGTCAGTAGACAAGCCGAAGCAAATGACATTCTCAAGAAGTATGAGGAGGTTGGTTGGCAAATCCTGATTCCTGCCTGCTTCCTGCATAAGTCTTACTCCGTCAGGCCTTGCCCATTCGGCAGTTTCTCCTCACCAATCTTGTAAGGTCTTCGGACGGAGAACTTTTACGATTTCGTATCCCTATCAAGATCCTCGCTTCGAGTCTCGACAAGATGGGTGACTTTTCTTTCAATAACCCTGATGAGGTCCGCTATGACGGCCCAACACTAATCGTCCGCGGTACAAAAAGTCACTATGTAGCAGATGATGTGCTGCCTTTGATCGGACGATTCTTTCCAATGTTCAAGTTGGTTGACATTGACAGCGGTCATTGGGTTATTTCTGAGAAGCCAGAGGCATTCAGGAAAGGTACTTAATGAAGTTTCCATACCCGCCCACAATGCTGACCTGCTAGCTGTGGTGGAGTTTTTAGAGGATGCAGAGGGATGAGACATGTGATGAGGCTATCAAACCTTTGAACATTTGTTGCACCTACTCTCCATTGCGATTTCTCTACGACGGAAACTGCGGTTCGCCGATATCCACATCGTTGATTGGAAAAATTGCGCGCTGCCTTCATACTCCAATCTCACTACTTGCCCGAGTTCTCCGCGAATGCTCTATGACAGGTCGGCCTTTGGGGGCTCCTTGACGAGATCAAGGTTGCAGATATTGGCCAGCGAGCGCGCAGCCAATTATGTCTCATGAAAATGGCCAAACAAATCTCCGTCTTCGTGGCGACCAAGTCAGGATGAGGTACTTCCGTACATTGTGCTGAGCTACGCTGAGGCTGGCTCATGAGTTCGATTACGATTAGTGGGTCGAGGCGATCGACATCGACTTTTGGAACAGAAATTAAAGACTGGTCCAAGGATATGTGAGGATTTGTGGATTTATGCCTATAGTGATGACATGCTTGCACAGAATTGCGCAAGAGCGCGGCCGGCTTTGCTGCATGAAGCTCCCTTCACAACATCCAACCAACGCTCAAACTTCATCCAGCACCGTCTCCTTGAATTCACGCTCAACCTTCTGCCCTTGCTCATCCGTTGTTGATTCACCATGGAGATTGAGAAGCGCGCCTAGATCGAACTTCGGTGCCTTCAACAACTTGACTTTTCGAATGTGAACCTATACTCAGTTAGCATGACAAGTAGATCGAACCCAATTGCACACGAAATGACGAACATTTTGTAACGGATAGATGCCTTGCGTGGCTTTTTCGATCTCACGGCCAATCACCTCAGGAATCAACTTGGTTGTTAGCTGGGAAAGCGTGCAGCTAGATGCTTCGCGTTGGATGATCTCGACCATCTTCTTGCGAATGGCACGGATTTGAGATGACCGAGCGTACGTAGTTTTCTTGATCTGGTTGGGTCGTCTCTTGGTAAATGCAATAGCAAAAAGGCGAAGAAGGTAATCATCTGTAGACTTGACAACGACATTGGCTTCGATGAGGGATTGCCACTTGCGAACCAGTGAGCGTAATTTGTCAGATGTGAAGTCAAGTCCATGAAAATTGGTCAAGCAATTCTTGCCCTGCACCTCGTCGACCCTGAGCTTGACCTTTCGGAACGCATGGTCCTCGTCTTTCTGCAGATCGGCCAGAGACACTTCAAATATTCTTCCCTTCAGAGCGTCATTCGCATTCTTGAGACCAGTAGTCCTGTTGACAAGTGTTTTCCCAACACTACAGATCTTAGCTATCAGTTTGGTTGATCTGGGAGGATTGTGCGTACTCGCGAACTTGGAAGGTCGATGGTGCCTTGAGAACATTAGACAGAAGCCGGGCTTGAGCTATTCACCTCGTACCTTCACCGAATACCAATCTTTGCGAGTGAAGGGATCTTGTGTTCTCTTCTTGAGCCCTTTCTTGCCTTTTGAAAGACGCTTGTTTCTACAACGGCTGTTAGCATGAACAAAACCATCGAGCACTGGTGCCTCTGTATTGCGAGAAGAACACTCACTTTCCGACAGCCATGATTGCGGCTTGGAACGGACCTTGAGACTGGATGGGTGTGTATCGATGTGGAGAGTGGACTTTTGTGGGCAGTTCTTTAGCGAGGTGCTCAAAAAGCTTGGCGCTTCTCGCACTAAGTCGCCTTTACTTATTTTCACGAGGAAACGCGCAATATTAGGAAATGCGCAATTTTTAGCTCCAATACATCCGACGTAACATACCTATTATTACTATAGCTATTACTACTACGTATTTAAATAGCTTACTATTATACTTTACTATAATTAACTAATATAATAATAATAATATAATTACTATCTCTAGATTTAATATAATAGAATCTTCTACTTTAAATTTAAATATTATCTATATTTATTTTAATAATATATATATTTAAATAATTTAATAATCGATCTTTTATTTAAAGTATTTAATATAATAATAAATTATTATAAAAGTTAATTACTTTTTAATTAATTATTAATCTTATAATATAGAACTATATATTATATTATTAAAAAAGCTTAATTAAGTATATAATTTATTTTCGTTATTAATATATTATTTTAAATTCTTAATTATAATTTTATTAAGAAAATATTTAAGAAAAGAATAATTTTAAATATAAATAAGTATATTAAAACGAAGTATAAATTAAAAATCTTAAATTATTAATATATATAAAAGAATAAGATAGAATTAAGCTAAAAAATCTTAAATTTATATATATAGTTAATTATAAATTTAAATTCGCTACGCTCTTTAATTAGATCGACTAAGTTAGCTTAATAACTCTTTTACGCCTTCTTATTAAAAATTAAATATATATTATTTATAAATGAAATAACTTTTTTAGTTTCTATTAAAATTTTAAGATTTCTTTTTTAAATTATAGAGCGTAGTTTACGTTTCTTAACGTCGTAAGAATTATAAAATTCGATTATATGATTATTAATAGTTAAGAAGCTTAAATATCGTCTATTAAAGGTCGCTTATTAAATTTACCGACAGCCCTAATTAAAATTTAAATGTATATTATTTAATTTTAGAATAACTTTTTTATTTTCTATGATAATTTATTAATTCTTTTTTTTAATTATAAAGTATAATTCACACTTTTAAATAAAGTAAGAGTTTTAAATTTTAGTCTTATAATTATCTAAAGGCAAGGAATTCAAATATCGTCTATTTAAAGTTCGCTTATTAAATCTACTCGATAGTTCTAATTAAAAAAAATAGATTATAAATTTAATTTATAAATCTAAACTCGTTTATTAATAAAAGAATAACTTCGCTATAAGATAATTTAAATTTAAACTTTAAAGATTATACTATATTAACTTCGTTTTTTTAAAAAAGATAAAGATAGATAAATTTAAAAAAATCTAATATCTTTTATAATTATATTTCTTATATTATATTATTAATATTTATTATTACTCGCTTTATTATAATAATAATAACGAGAAAAAAAAGAGAAAGTTATTTTAATATAATAATAAATTCTATTAAATACTTTATTATAAATTCTATCATAATTATAATAATAAAATTAAAAAGAAGATAAAGAGAATATTACTCGCTTTATTATAATAATAAAGCGAGTACGTCGAGTAATAATAAGAGAAAAAAGTATTTTAATATAATAATAATTTCTATTAAAGACTTTATTATAAATCTTTATTATAAACTCTATTATAATTATAGTAATAAAATTAAAAAGAAGATAAAAGAGAGTAATAGAAATATAAGAGAAAAAAGAGAAAAAGAAGATAATAGAAGAAGAAAAGTTGAAGAAGAGAAAATTAAAGAAGATTTAATAGAAAAAGAAGTAATAGAAAAAGTAATAATAACGATTTACTTTTAAATTGAAAAATTAATAGAATTTAAAAGTAATAATTAATTTATTTATTATAGAAGTCTTAATAATAATAAAAATCTAGTTTTTTTTTAAATCTATTATATAAATTTAGTGGAAAGTAGACATTTTGATGTTACGTCGGATTTATCGGATTTAAAAATTGCGCATTTACGCATTTCGTTCTTTTGATTAGTAATTCATTTCGTGTATTTACACTGAATACTTTATATTGAGAAATCACTAGGAGATCTCGATGCAGAGGTTCTCAATACCTCAATAATGTCTTTGCATCTCCCTCTGTTTCCGTCGCACTGTGGCACTCTACCCAACTCCTTTTCTCAGCCTACTATTTTCCCCAATTATTGAAAGATATCTTGGACATCAACAAGTGAAGTCACCCATGTGGCCTACTCACTACGCTCGATGTTCACCAGCAAATACACCATGCAAATCACTTTGTATTGCTACGTTGTAAACGCATACATAACGTTTGTACCACTCAACGAGATATGAGTCAAGCTTGGGGCTACTCGTACGCTACGAGTTGGCGACCACTCTTGGGGATGAATCGATCGTCAACCGAAAAACACTTAGGGACAGATTCTAGTAGCAGACGTCGAACGGGTCTTTCCTGCTTGGAGACGTCATACTTTATTCCTAAAAGTCAATGGTCAACATCCTCCCTACGTGAAATCCGGAGTCAGCACTGCTTCTCCAAGATAAAGAGAGTGCGTTATGAGATAGACTTTGGTGAGCAGATAGAGCCGTATCCGCACGGAACATGTCCTATTCCTTAGATCTTGGCACAAGCGAAAGAACCACTGGAAGGATGCGTACCAAACCCTGCCGTGCACTTGACTCAACTCCTCCATGCTCGGAACTTTTTCATTCGTAAAATAGCCCGCATAAATCTTGGCATCGATTTCTACCCTGCTGTCTTCTGGAATAAGCCTTTCAGGGATGGGGACACGCTCATGTATGGGTATGCCCTGGTCGACAATAGCATCATATTTCATGCTGAAAGGGCCTGCAATTAGCCATGCTCTTGCGCTCGACCACCTTCGAGCGGCGGGTAACATCCTGTGAAGGAGAACCCACTTTGACATGCTTAGCATACGATCAATCTTGGTGATGCCGAGCCAGTGCAGTATCTGTAGGTCACTTGTCAACGGAGGCCACAGAAAACACAGTTTTCCAGACATACATCGGGCATCAGTGTTTGAAATCGCATGTCCTGCACCAGTCAGTGGAGTCGAACAGAAGGTTTTTTTATTAGTTGCCAACCTTGACACCAGCAATGTTCTCCGTTCTTTGGAAATACTCACTGGCACCTTGAGAACAGTCAGCTTGCCACAGGATCAACAAGGAGAGAGAGGTGGAATGCACGATCTGTTCCCCGTTTGCCTTGAATCATGCGATGTCAGTAGCAGACTCGTGAACCGCGCAAGATCTTTGAGCTTCAGGGGACATACGAGCATTGTATACGAGGTATTTCGTAACCTCTCCTAGTCCTCTTCCCTCTTTGCGAAAATAAATGACCAAGCCAGTACCGCCTTTCTGTGCTTCTTTGACTGCTTCCTCGACGCCAAAGATCAGATAAGGCCGGCTATGAAGAGGTCGGAGTCAGCA